TCTTGACTATCAGCTTCAAAAATATCACTGCATTCATGGGTAATGGTTGTGGCTAATTGATTGTTGTTGAAGCGAGTTTGACAAATGCTGCCAGACAGCTATGTGTGTAATTCTCCTTGGGTTACAACTCATCATGCTGTATTAACAGTGCGTGACTCGAAAAAAAATACCACCAAAATAGAATTCGATGAATTTCCTGTTGTTCTACCTCAATTATATATTATTTAGGGCAAAAAAAAACTCAGCATCTTTCTGTAACTCTGTCTGTCTTTGTGATGTTGTACATGTTGCTTCTCGGTCACGGGAAAGTGTAGGTGGTGTATTTTGTGTGTAGAGCTGTTCCCCTAGCATTTTACCTCAAATCTGTTAACAGATGAATTCTACCTCAGGAGTGTGCTCAAAGATTTGATCAGTGATTACCAGGAGAGGGGGACATAGGAAAAGGTAATGGGCATCAGAGGGGAGGGGAGGGGGGGTTGAAATTATCTGCCAGTATGGACAATTCAAGATTTTTGTGACCGTGTAACATGTAATTGAAAGTTGAGAGATTTTGTAAGACTGACTTGTAAAGCTCGACAAACTCTCATTGGAATGTCTCCTCCATAGCTCTGGCATATTGACAATTCTGACTTGATGATTACATGCTCATGTCGTATCTTTATACATGTATGATGCGTATGAAGGAAAGCACCAGGCTCCCCCTCCACCCTTCCCTCCCCCTGCCCTTCCCCATCTCTTAGATCTGTTGTTGGCGGTGTAAAGGTGTGGTTCTGAACATAGTTGCAACCAGAGGGTCATCTGGTTTTTGTTTTGGACACCTCAGTTTTTTTTAAGTCTGACAGGTTTTGTTGTCACTGCCAAAATCGCACAACAAAACACCAACAAGCTGTACGGACTTCACTCGTTTAGAAGTATGAAATTAGACAATTTTTGACATTGTTTCTGAAAGCCAGGCTGAAGCTCATGGCTCACACGAATTGGGGTAGGAGTGGAGCCAAAGTTGTCTTTGCAAATTCTGGGTGAAAAAAAAAAATAGAAAGTTTGAACTGTGAGATCACAGAACTATTGTTTCCCCCGCAATGGAACCACACCTCACGGCAACGTGCGCACAAGGTGTCAAACTTATGGTAGCTGCATATTTCGGTGTAAAGCGCTATTTTTTACGTTTTTAGACTAAAAAGCAGAAAAAAAATTAGTAATCATGCTTTTTGTGATTACCGTAATGCAAGTTCGTTTTCTTTTTATTTAATGTGATTTAATGTAATCGTGATGACTAACAATTCAACGAATGGTAAAAAAAAAGAACACACAGTATTTTGTGCTGTGAGCCTGTAAATTATACTACACAAAAAGCACCTTTACTGTTTTAAATGAAGCTATATCATTGTAAATGTACAGAAAAAAAAGAAAAAAAAAGTGGTAAATTAACAATGTGTATATTACCATAAAATGTGGTATAAGTAGTTGTTAGGCAAGTAGTGTATTATGTGTTTAATTAAACAATTACCCTCAAAATCAGTGTATTAGGTGTAGGTTCTTGCAGGTATTGTGTGTTGAATAATGGACATGCTTGTTCCCATGGTTACACACTATTCTTGACCCTTACCTGTAATAAATGTGTTCTGAAAAATGGACCTTTCGATGCACTGTGTGTTTATTGTAAAAATGACGTCGAAGATTTAACACTGGGTTTTTATCTGCAAGTCAAGTTGAATCCTTCCCGATTGGTCGATCCATGGCAACAAACCGTGCTACATTATAACAAACTGTGCTACATTATCCCATGTAGCATGGTCTATATCACGCTCAGCGTATCGCACTATTCCAAGAAGCGAGCACCAATTCCGGCTGCGGACGTGGATAACTGCTAAAAGGTTGCTGTAAATATAAGCGTGCTCGTTCCAACTTTACAAGTTTGCTTAACGATAATTTCATTATCCCACTTGCGCTCGTGGAACACAGAAAATGTAGTGCACTACATTATTCCATGTTCCACTCTCGCTCATAGGATAACTAATACTGCCCTTTATTAATTGAATTCAATAATACTGTATAGTCAGTGTTTGAAGGTTTGCGAGAAAAAATTCAATTGCGCATTTGCGCGGGAGTAGAACCCACGACTTGCCTACTGGTGCAGACGTTTTACCACTCAACCACCGAGCTTGCGAGGGTCGGCTGGCTGGTTTTAATCTGATATAGCAGCAAGTACTGCAACCAATTGTTTTTTTTTTTATATGATTTGCTTTTATATGTCAGTACTTTTTTAATAAGTTGGTGGGGACATCCAAAAATTTCTTTGTCTGGTTCCAAGTCCCGTTTTCTTGAAGCTGAATGGGTTTTCAGTCCGAAATACTAAATCATAACGCATAGAAAGCAATGAAAACTTGACTACAACTGATCGGACATTTTCGTCATCTGATGTATGGGTGTCCCTTTTTATTTCTATTCACATATAAAAATCTGAAGGAAAAACTTTGCAGTTGCACACGTATACATATACATGTAGATGGCTAAATTAACTCGTGCAAAGTGCGTATGTCTCCAGTTGTGTTTACTGCAATGAGTTTGTCAGTTGATATCGCTGAACAAAATAATATGTAATCAGGCCATCTTTGGCAAGATGAAATTGACTTAATACTTTATTCAGGCATGCAACTGGGAGTTTAGAAAAAAACGAGGAAATTCCAAACCACACATGACTTTGTACAGTGTTTGTCAATTTGTAATGGCATTCATGAGAAGTAAAAAACGAGGAAATCAGCGGATCCGAGGAAAAGTTGCATGCCTGTTTATTTTCATAATTTTTTCATTTATTTGTTATAAATTATTTTGTCATTGGCTAATTATATTCATGCCTACTCGTACCTAGAGGTACTGATAACACAACATGCATATTTACGACTGCCTCTGGGACGACCATTCGGTAGTGCAATTATGCTCGCCCCTAGAGGTACTGATGACGACACAAATATGCAAACAATACCTCTATGGGCAACCATTAATGCAATAATGGTCGCCCCAAGAGGTAATCGTGAAGACACAAACATGAATACTTAGGGGCGCCCATAAGTGCAGTAATGGTCACCCCTAGAGGTACTGATGACAGTACAAACATTGCATATCCATGACTACCTGTAGAGGCGACCTTTATTGCAATAATGGCCAACCCTGATCATGTACTGATGACAAAAATGCCTACGCATGACTGATCGTTGAACCCATGGCTTAGGTAAATGATGCCAATTAGTGCGTATTGTCTCTGTGGGACGAGTTTATCATGCTGCGAAGGTAAACTACAGGCCCCTTGTATGACGAGAGGCAGCATCCTCAACGTCTGGGATAGCACTGGTTGCTATACGCTATACTTTGCTTTATTATTTTTCAACTGAGCCTGAATCATGTGAATTGCCAGAATTTTGTATTCATTATTTTTCCACCAGTAAATTTGTGTGTGTGTGTCTATCCTCAATCGTAAAGCCATGCAAGAGCACCCATACACCCATGCATACACGTTTGTTTATGGTGTAAATCAAGGATTTTCCTTGGTTTATACTCTTCACTTTTTTGCAACAGGCCTCATTGGTGTTGTACACATTTTCTAATCGAGGTCGCGTCCTCGATTTGGTTCCTGTCCTCAATTCATCGATGATGTTGCATGTGTGCGTCTTCGATTTATACCATAAACCTACTCACACACACACAAAGAATGAATACAATATCCCCTTAAAAGCCAGGGGGATAAAAAAGGGATGCCCTAATACTCTCTGCACATAGGGAGTCATTAGAAAGTGCTTATTTTATTGAGGACACTATTTAAAAAGATACATGTATACCAGGCCTGTCTTCATTATTAACACATTCTGTTTTATTTAATTATTTTGAAAAAATAAATTAAGGCCACTGCCAATTTTTTTCTGAGCCCTTACAAATATATGTCCAAAAGGCCTGTGAAAGCTTTGTGCGTTTAACAAACTAAACAAAACCACACAAAGCCCTTTCTTTTTCACAAGTTCTTATGAAGAGAGGTTTGTTCGACAATATGCACTGCCCCTTTTTATGCCTCGAACAAACAAAAATTTAATAAAGAGCAGAAATTTATTTCTAACTGCAGGGTGTTTTTCTGTATCAACCGCGATGAACTCTTTCGGTAAGGGCCTGTCTCAATTCATATCCGGGATGAGTTTCAGACATTGTATCGGGTATAAGTTGCAGGAATCTGAACAACTTCCCCGCAATCTTCCCGCAATGAAGTTACCAGTATTGGTGAGTCAAGCAATTGCTTATGAAAGTTTCCCTGGAACATGTCCGGGACAAATGCGGAGCGTCTTCCGGACAAAGTGAATGATTCTACCTGCAATTTTTCCGGGATTCGTCCCGGATATGAATCGAGACATGCCCCAAAGAAATCATTGCCTTCATTAGATATTTAAGAAAACGTGCCATGAAATTCAAGCCTATTACACAACCATGAGTACAAGCACAGCCTTTCCTTTGCCAACTACAGGTTCCCACAGAACTCCTAAAACTAAATTCCCTTGACTTTTCCATGGCTTTGCCAGGACAACACCAGGGCTTCCATGACCGATTCCTATGCTGTTTCGGGATCTTAGGAGCCTATTAAAGGCATAGGATGACACTCCCTTTCAGCCTTCCAGTTTGACACGAGACCATTGAATGTCACAAAAAGCTTTACAACCGTACATTGATTATACAACAAGGAGAAAACAGGTTGCCCCTCAATAAGCCATTTGCGTGTTAACTTTGAATAAAATCTGGAACGCTGACTTAACACAATGCTTTGCACGTTTTAACCTAGCATTCTCCCGACCAAAGAGACTGTTACTATATCACGCGATTCGGGGCAAGCCTTATGCTAGCAACCCCCAGCTCCGGCATGGTCTGGTGTCTTTGTGCCATTCTCATTGTGAACGATGTATTGGTGCTGAGCGTCTCTTACGTAACTATGCAAGAGCTTGCCCCGAATCATGTGATCAGCAACAGTGTCTTTGGTCTGGAGAATTCACAGTTAAAATGTGCCAAGCATTCTGAGCAAGTCATTGTACCAGACGTTTTTCAAATGTAAATCCCAAAGGGTATAGGTTACTCGCAAATGGCTTATTGTTTTATCTGTAAGTACAAATAACTTGCCACTACTTTCCTTTTGGGAGGATTACGGAGAATTCAGAAGTAGTTTATTTTGGTGGTTGCGTATGAGGTCTGAGGCAAACTTGCCATAGGATTGGTTGATCCTTTTCTATTACTAATACAAAATGAGAGACATGATGTCCTTAACAAACTTTAGGTAAACCGGACGCTTCCACTGGCTTTCAGCACATTGAAGGATTTTAAAGGATTCAGGAAGAATCCTGTATGTACCAGAAACAACTATTGGAGTTCTGGTCAAGTCTCCAGAGCATGGGAATGTTTATAAGGAATCTCATCAAAATCAGAAGGGATTACTGTCCATATATAAATTCAAACTCATGCAGTCAGACCTAGCAAAATATTTAAGTCCAAATTTTGCATGAGGCAGACAGGCGATCGACGGTCTAATTCATTGTGCACATCAATGCGTGTAAAGTGTCTTGCCCGAGGACATATGCACCACAATCCCAGGCTAGACTCAAACCCCCAAACCCAACCCGCAGGCTATGAGTTCGATGCTCCAGATCACTAGGCCACGGCACTCCACAGTTTGTTGTGACAGAGTTTGCGTAAGCGAGAGTCAACTGTCATTGAGGGTTTCAGGCAAAATGTGTCAGTTTTGCTCAGTCATCCTGTGAAGTGTACATGTATGGCATACTCTTCAGCTGCAGTGAGGAATAACACGAGTGTCACTTCTTGTCTTGAGGAATCACAAGAAATTGCTGATCTGAAATCATGAAGGTAGAGGATTGGAGGCCCAATGTTTCAACTCGCTCGGACAACCTGGGTAGGTATTGAGCACATCCATGAGCTGTGCCGACGTGACCAGTAAGGACATCGCCCGGTATTCTTTCTGGGTGCGAGAACCATGTCCGTCGACTGGCTTCACAATCTCCAAGGAAACGAGATGTTCAAAAGCCTGCAAGAGAAGTGGAAGGAACTTGAAGATGTACATGTACACCTGGCACGAAAAGAAACTAAGCAGTTTTTATAATCATACTTGTTTGGACATTTCTTGGTGAACAAAAAATCCGAAATCATCATTTAATGCATAAAAAGACTTCCACTATTAGTTTCAGTGAATAGAAGAATCGAGTGAATATCGTGCGCTCTTGGACCAGTTTTTACTATGCTTGCCTTGTTTTGATTGTATAAATACCTACATTTTGTGTCATTATTTAGCAATACAAAAATTACTCAATTTTGAATGAAATATCAAAGGAAAAACACCAGCCCATGTTTTTATAGTTATGGGGGGAAAAAGTTTCAAATTATTTGCTGCCGACAACAATTCAGTTCTCACAAAGTAGACTTATTCCTACATGTACCTTCTATCACGGTTGATAATGTACGGACCAAGAACCAGTATCTGATAAAGTGCGCCAAAGCAAATAGTAAAACAGTTTTTATGAGTATTTACCTTTAAAACGACTGGTTTTTCGAAACTCTGGACGACATGAGCTTTCCTCTGCACAAACTTCAGGTATTCTGTAAAGAAGTGAACAAAGATTGATCATTTCTGACAACAATACCTTCAGTCTGATGATGCTGTCATTGTGAAAAATCCCAAATGAATTTATAAGTGTCCAAAGAATGTGGACACACAATTTTGTGAAAAAAAAAACAATTCTGACGGTTTTGAAATAAAAACAAATCAACTGTCCTTGACTTGTTGTTAGAGGGCTCCCTTTCATGTGACCATGAAACCACCCTGTTACTCCCTATGGGCTCCGTGCACAAGTACCCCTTCAACAGCCAGAAAAGGAGAGTTGGGGGAGACCTAGACTGGTTCCCGGTCCATCCACTGCGTATTTTGAATGATCCAAAGTTATCAAGGGCGGAGATTAGTCTTAGAGACCATCGCAAGCTAAATTCGAACATATTTGCGCGCCGACGACCCTCACGCAAAGACGCTGTGGCTAATAGCTTTTGCACATACAGGAAGTGGTGCGCACTTCCCTCGCGAACCAGTACAGTACAGTTCGCTCATGCTGTGTGTCCAGTCCACGGAGCTCTCAAAAGTGGTAAAAACGCGCCCTCTTTTGTTGGCGCACGGAGCCCATAATACACCCAACCACCCAAGCTCTATGGTTTTACGCATTTATCAGGGATTGTAATACAATGTACATGTAGTACTGGTGCTGAACCAGGTAAATAGGTGTTACCCCAAACATCTAAAAATCTTCAACATTCTTACCATTATACAGCATTTCAAAGTTGAACGGATCACCTTCATACAAATCAGTCAAGTGTTTCATAGCGATGACTAACGCCAACTGCAGCACAGAGATGCCTGCAATTTACAAGACGTCAAAACTTGTTGACAAGAATGTATTTTAATATTTGTGTGGAGTAAAGTGTCTTGCCCAAGGGCAAAGCTTGGCACACACAAAAAAACACTGGCCGGACTCAGAACCCACAATCTATTGAAGTACCCATAAGACTTAGTATTTGATGAACCAGACAACAAAGTTAAGACTTAACACTCCAGAATTCAGAATCATGAATTACATTTACAATACCAAAATGGATGCGCATGTAGTGTACCCGGTATTTCTACATTCTAGATATTAGAAAGTCAGTTAACAAGCCAGCTATTTCATTAGATAGAAGCCAGCCGGCCAGCAAGTAAGCCCGCCAAGCAGCAAGGGGCCAGTTTAATAGCCAGCCAGCCAGCCAGCCAGCAATCCTGCATGCAAACCGGGGAGCCAGCCGGGAGCCAGCCAGCCAGCGAGCAATTATGCCAGCCAACCTGCAAGCCAGCCAGTGAAACAGCAAGCGATCTTGCCAATCAGCCATTAAGCCATCCTGCCAGCATGTCAGCCAGCCAGCATGCCATCCTGCCAGCCAGCAGCCTGCCAAAGATCCAGCCAGCATTGCAAACAAGCAAGCAAGCAAGCAAGCACGCTAGCCAGCTTACTGGCCATCCCATCAGCCAGCTATCCTGATTGCTAGTCAGCCAGCTAACCTACCAAGCAGCCAGCTAACTAAACAGCAAGCTAGCCAGCCACTAAGCCAGCAAGCCAGCCTACCTAATGGCCAGTTACTTACACTATAGGAACCAGAAATGTCTGAAACACTTTTGTTTCCGGCGGACAAAATGTCTAAAATGTGAACAATGGTGATCACTGTTTAGTTTCAGACATTTGGCCTGAACAAAAACGTTTCAGACATTTCTAGTTCCTAGTTTAAGCCATCCTATACCCAGCCAGCACACTAGCTAGCCAGTACACCAGCCAAACAAGCCTGGGGGGAGCCAGCCAGCCAGCAAACTAGCCAGCCAGTACACCAGCCAAACAAGCCTGGAGCCAGCCACCCAGCCAGCAAACTAGCCAGCCAGTACACCAGCCAAACAAGCCTGGGGGGAGCCAGCCAGCCAGCAAACTAGCCAGCCAGTACACCAGCCAAACAAGCCTGGAGCCAGCCACCCAGCCAGCAAACTAGCCAGCCAGTACACCAGCCAAACAAGCCTGGGGGGAGCCAGCCAGCCAGCAAACTAGCCAGCCAGTACACCAGCCAAACAAGCCTGGAGCCAGCCAGCCAGCCAGCAAACTAGCCAGCCAGTACACCAGCCAAACAAGCCTGGAGCCAGCCAGCCAGCCAGCAAACTAGCCAGCCAGTACACCAGCCAAACAAGCCTGGGGGGAGCCAGCCAGCCAGCAAACTAGCCAGCCAGTACACCAGCCAAACAAGCCTGGAGCCAGCCAGCCAGCCAGCAAACTAGCCAGCCAGTACACCAGCCAAACAAGCCTGGAGCCAGCCAGCCAGCCAGCAAACTAGCCAGCCAGTACACCAGCCAAACAAGCCTGGAGCCAGCCAGCCAGCCAGTTACAGGCATACTTACCATGCAACATGGCCGCCTTAGAATCAGCACCAAGATGTTTACTGGACTCCACTAGGTCCACTGCCTCTATCGCTGGGTGGTCCTCGGTCACTTTACAGATTGGTAAAAGCTGTGAACATATCAGAGGTATAACTATACAACAACGCTTGAAATCAAAACGGTATAATACCAACAGACTTCACAAAGGTCAATTTTATCACAACCCAACATAAAGAAATACTTAGGGGCTCTATTAAAGCCAGAGTCCATCATTTGCAGCTATCCAAAAAGCAACTGGCGTAATTATTGTTGAAAAACATACTTGGTTGAAAGATAGTAAGGGGACTAAGCTCCCTGTGAAATTATTCTTTCTGGCTAGCTGTCATTTTGAAGAAATCAACGAAAAAAGGCCTTTTCCAACGGTGCGTCTTAAGAAGCACCATTGGAAATGTCCGCTAGTAGTTCGTTTTTTTATTCGGCGAAGCGCGCAAGCGTTGACACAACGCACACGCGCGCGTGGCTGCTATAATTCGTCAGATCGGTGCGCGACATCGCGTAGCTGCAGTTGGCTTGCGAGAACGTGTCTCTGGCCCAATTCAAAACATGATTCAGCAAGTTTTGATTTGAAATCGAGATCCTAGAATGTTGTTTTTCTCGAAATATACAGCTGAAGCTGATCTGAAACTTCATCAAGTTAGTTGTTCAGCACCCTTCTTTAGATTTTGAGCACTTTTGTTGCTTCAAACGAACACAATGCACAAATTACAAATGATGGACTGTACCTTTAAATGCAACTTAATTTTAAAGCAATAATACATACACTCAACAGGTAATGTAAGAACAGTTTCTGCAAAGATATTTACCAAGAGTGACTGAAGTCTGCAGATGCTTTTGTCCAATTGGTAGGTTTTCTTGAGAACATCGTGGACTGTTGCATTGCTGCATAATGCCTGTTGTGGCATAAGAGAAAAAAATATACCTGTAAGAAGAACGCCACAAGAGGACCCATACAGACCATAAGAAGAGCTCATGGAAACTCAAACTGAAACCACTGCAAGAAAGCAGGACTAGGGCCGTTTGTTTTCTATTAATTTAGTGTTAGATATGTTTGAAACTGCGTTTGACCAAATATTAGAATATTTGAAACTTGCAAATCATGGGCTTTAACCTGCTCAATGGATGGGAACAATGAACTGCCGATGACAAAAAAATGCCATTGAAAAAAGTTGCATCTGGTAGTGCAGTATTACCGTATAATCACGGTTACTGTTTTTTTTTTAGTTGAAAAGTTCTGACAAACTCGGTGTGGAATTCACTTTTTTGGGGCTGAGCATACTACTAGTAGACGAGTTTTGGGTAACTTATTTGAAAATGTTATTTGCTCGGAGTGGAATCAGCGGAAAGAGAGGGGGAGAAAGTGATTGATTCCTTGTTTGCAGGGGACGTGAACCCCAAACACACAACACAAATAAGATACCAGAAAACACAAGGCCTTGCCCGATGGTCGGGTCTGGAGCAAAGTTAGTCTTGGGTCAAGACCACGTTGTTGTATATTGGATATGCAATCACCCGTCGTAAGAGGGCCTATCACCCACAAACCGCTATCACAACACCGTCTTGGGAGTCTTGAAGCAGTCAAGCGCCCGCACCTGTTTCGCCTGAAGCAGCGTGCTTTCAACACCTTGTATATTTAGGTCCGAACCAAACTCCAAATTTTAGCCAGCAGCATACAAGATACTACTGGACCTTTGTGCAACTTCATGGCAGCTCTTTGTTTGTGTAGCGCATGCACACATCTTCGCAGTATTTCTCACCTCGATATCTTGGTTCCAACGTTTGACGAACTTTGCGTCCCCAACCTCTGCTGGTAGTGTAAGCACCCTCTTACAGACTTCCTTGTAAGCAGGGAAGGCGAGCGAGTTGAAGACATGGATGTGACGATGGGAGAAGCGTGACTTGACACGTTTCTCCAGGAGTTCTACAACATCCTGCAGGTGTAAGAAATGAAGGTAACATATTGCATCCAGTGACTGAATTTTATTTTCTCCTGGTCCTTGAGAGCTAGCCTAGTGCCCTCACTGACCGATTGTCCGACTGACTGCAGGGTTCGTCCTTTACTTTTTATTTTTCACAAGCCAGCCGGACTAGTGTAGAAGAACCCCATGTTCCAGTGGTTATGGTGTTTGACTCACCCACGATGGTGCGTGGGTTCGTATCCTGCCGAAACATGGTGTTTGTGCCCTTGGGTAAGACACTAAACTACAATTGCCTCTCTCCACCCAGGAGTATAAATGGGTACCTGTGAGGGTCGAAGACCAATTGAGCGCTGATATTGGCTGCCGCATGGTCCCATGGCCTGATGAACAGGGTAATAAATGTAAAGCGCTTTTAGATTGTAGATACGATGGAAAGCGCTATATAAGCACTATGATTATTATTATTATTAAACAGATCTCAACTAGTCCGTGGGCCTTTTCACTAGTCTGCATGTGTTTCAATTCATTTAGCAATATATCAGCGCAAGATTCACCGGCACCACAGCATAACCAGATAACAAGCCGACTGTATGTCAGTGTATCAGATTATTTTGTCTACGACCGGCTTTCCTAAAATTGCAGAAATCCGTGGATACCGTATGCGGAAAAGTTGCATATGTCTCATTACAATAATTTTGACTCGCCAGTCTTACTACTTAGGGAATGGTTTTGACAAGTCCATCGCTGTTTTTACTTGCATTTGGTGGGCGGACTACCGCTAAGGTCGAACCCGGCTGACTGTCACTTGTGACTTGGACTGGCTGTAGACTGGTGAAGAGGGCCGGGCAGTGCTATTGTATAGGATTACCCCTTAGTGCCAACAAATGAGCTAAATTCCGGTTATTATTGTGTAGATCAGATACATGAAAAGACGTCCAGTAAATAACCACTCCGAATCAATTGAATAGAATAATGTGCACTCAGACTTATACTGGTCTAGTCTTGTTTGAACCTTTCTGACATGTCTGAAGTCTGCTGAAATAAAGCGGTGCGTCATGCTGTGACACATGATGGTGATTCTTTGTGCTTTGGACATGCCCTTTGTTACTACAATAAAACGTATCCAACCAAATCAGGTTTTATAGAATTTGGTATATATTTGGGATATTAAGGGTCTAACACATATCAATTTCTTCCTTAGTAAAGTATGATTGCCATTGCATAATTATAAGTGCTATGTACCGCTAATACTGCTAATTTTCCCAGACTCTCTGAGAAAAAAAACATTGCAGGCTTTGAATCGAGCCCACAACTTTCTGCTTATTAGTAAAGAGTTTTTTTCCAACTCCAGTTGGTAAATTGAGAGGGCAGTTGCAATCACAAATAAAAACTTTTTTTTTCTTAAAAAGCAATCAAATTTGATACACTAATGCAGATGTCTTGAAAGAGCATGTTCTTCCACTCACCTGAAAACAAAAAATAGTTACTGAAATTGATCCACGCTTTCAGAAATTATGCATGTTTTACTAAGAGAACTATTTTTAAAGCTGTCCATGGAATGACATTGGAAGCTGTCGGTATTGAGTGAGAATTACAGATTACATGCAGCTATTCAAATACAAATGAGATTTTATTCATTTTGAGTCAAGACTGAAACATCATTTTTTACTATCAGATGTTGTGTTTAGAATATGAAGAACACTCAAGTCAACTCTTTTTTTTCCTGAAATATTGATGGCAATATTTGTCTGTTTTCCTTTGCAAGTTTTCGTGCATTCATGACGGTAGGAAAACATCCATGTTTCATTGTATTTACTAGGTATTTATCAGTTTGTAGAACAGTAAATGATCAGTGTTGGACAGCTGAACAGTGATCTTTTCATTAAAATTGACATAACTTGGGAATATAGTATGCAAATTACGTGACATTTTCAGAGTGACCTGAGTCAATAACATGTATTTCATCACTGTTGTTTTTATGAAATGGAGCGAACCACATATTTTTAAAAATATTTTTTTATTATTTGATCATTTTCTTTTTGTCTCAGCCTGTATATCTTTAAAAATATATATTTCATTACCGTTTATCCACCCCATATTTATGGAAGCCCCTCCTCCAACTTACCAATCTGCGTGTGACACCAATGACTGCTATGGGTGTCTGTGCTGACTGGCAGATGTCAAACAGGTTATACAGCAGCGTCTGGTTCTTGTGATGGGCAAAGAGGTCAAACTCCTCCAAGATGAATAAGACTGACTGTGCTGTGTCACTACCTGTGCACAAATAAGAACACAGCAGTGTGACAGGACAGTTATGAACCTGTGGTTTAAACTGGTTAGGGGCCTGGTCACCGATAACCAGTTTTACAACTGATCCATGGATCACATATCGTCACCGTCACCACAAAGTGACACTAACATCGAAAAATCAATATTTTGGGATTTCAATTTTTTTTCCTTCTAATTAGTGATTAATTACACATAATCTATCACCTCAAGAAGTTACTATACACAGAGTTAATTAGTTTTGTCAAAATATTAATTAACATCAATTAACGTTTGTAACTTAATGGGTCAAAACCAGAAAATGCATTTTCACGAAGTGTACTATAACAAAAACGGATTTTGCATTTTTACAAAGTACTACAAATGTCACGTGATATGCGCGACTCACTTCTGGTGTTTTCATGAAGTAATGCTAAGCCCATAGCTAATACACACGGGTAGCGTCACACTTTGTGAAAACTCGAACACAGCGTTATCTGATTTTTGAGTTTTCACGAAGTGTACTTATGATTAATTAGTTTGATAACTCATTAATAGTTATTTTGTTCAATAAAAATCATACATTAACGTGTCATTCAAGATCCCAGCTTTTCAGACAATGCAACAAAATATGAATTTTGAGGCTAAAACGATATTCAGATCACCGTTTCAAAACATTGTCAACTTAAATCACCTGTATCTCGAAACACACATTTCCACTCTGGGGGGGTTCAAGTCACTTCGTGGTGACGGTGACGATGTTATCCCTTATACCGACCTTTTCGGAACAAAATTCATAAAAAGTTGTCGATTTTCCAACAATTTTTGTCTAGCATTTTATTCCAGGATCAGCCATTTCTATGGTGCTTGCAGTCTTGGCAGTGGACGCCCAGTGTGCGTTACACTGATCTCCTTATATGGAGATTACAGTGGTTCCCAAGCACGCGGTTGTAGCCGACCTGCGCTGCACATGTTTGCATGTATGGTAGTGTGGACACGGGGTATTGTGCACATTTTAAATGCCGCCATTTAAACAGTGTTTAAACGGTGGTTTAAATCCATCCATGTGAGGGGCTCTCAAAGAAGAGGAAAACATACATACAGGTAAACTGTCCCAGGTATTTACATGTATGAAACTAAGTACCAGTTAACGACTGTCTGAGTCCACAATTGACACAAAGCCAGTTATGAAGGTAAAAAAAATAAGCCTTTGATTACATTGGTCATTTCAAATCCATGTTCCATTCCACAGACATGCACTGGCAAGATGTAGTACTACACTTTGTACTACCTAAACTGTTTACTCATCACATGACAAAAAGTGGACATGCACAAAAATTGCATATATTCTTATTCATAGCTTTCCCCAAACAGGGAGTACATGTATCTATTGCCAGTTGAGATTGTGTTCTGAATATCTACCATACCGAAAGAAAACTAAAAAGCAACCTCAGCATTAACAGGCAGTAAGGAAAAAGTCTGGTCAGTCACAATACAGTCTATAATGGCCTATACATGTATGTACTGACTGTGAACAAACCATAGAGCTGTATTAAATTACTAGAGTCCTAACTCGTCATTCTGCGCGTGGAGACGCTTTGAAGCCGTCCTGGGCGCAGACATTTTGAATTCATGTGCGTGTTTGTAGAACACAATAAAATTAGATGGATTGAATTTTTTGAAAGTGTACTCTACATGCAACGCGCAAGTAGAACATACGCAAACAACTTAAGTGCGTCATTGACGTTTAAAATAAAACGTGACGGCAAGAAGCATCTGCAGCGAATACGCGTACGCGTTGCGCTGTTTGCGTAGAGCAAAATGACACACTCATTTGCTGATCGTGCATTTCGGTTTTGGGCGTATTGGCTTCGATAACGCACCGGTATGGAATACAAACGCAGATATGCAAATAGCCGTACAAAAGCCGTACAAAATTTCTAGGTCTCCATAGGTTTGTGCACAAACATGGATGCGCCCAGCAGGCATTACTTTGTACACGAAGTTAGCGCTCTAGTAATTTAATATAGCTCTATGGATTACACACAACATATCAAATATGAACAGGCTTTTCTCTGCGAATTTGATTGTTCAAAAAAATTGACCTGATGTAAAATAATTGTTCTGGAAAGAATGCATTTTGAGCGTTTTTTTTTGTGGGGGGGGGGGGGGGTGTAGGGGGAGGGAGATGAAATATTAGTATGGAATTGCCCAGTCACATGTTATACATGCATAGCTCCAAGTAAATAAGAGAGATATAGTATCACTGTAAATATACAAAGACTGACAAGATATTTAGGCCTACCTCTTTTCAATGCCTCCAGGAGAAATGCCAGATTTTCAGCAAATGAGCCCTGAAAACAATATCAATCAAAATCATGTAACAGTATGTGTATAAAGTCCCGTGGATTTAAGACTGAAATCTGCGATTTCAATTGGGCTTTTTATTAGCACAGTCACTGTTGGTGGCAATGTGTTTGAATGTCTCTCCCAGTGGTCTCCCAAACTCTCCCGTTCTTAGCATAGAGGGGGTAATTTTGCACCGAGCCGATATGGAATTCCTTTGTCATTGTTGATCACCTGATTTTACTTGTGACTGACTCAATTATTCTGTAAAAGACACCCCCTTCCTTCTCCCCCCCCCCCCCAAAAAATCAATCTCGCTTCAAAAATATTTATTTTAACTTTTTTTTTTAAAGACTGACTTACAAAGACTTTATCACCGACCACATTGTCAAGTTGCAGTTGTCTGGTGATCTCCTGTATGGCAATTTTGTCATCGGTCTGCAGGAGCCCATTCAGACGAATGATGAGAAGATTCTTACTGACTTTGGGATTGGATTCAATCTCTCTCAAGACGCTAGAGACAAGCTGGAATAGACAAAACGACAAACAAAAAATACTGCCAAAATATGCAGATTTGGTACAGTGGACTTCTGTAACACACAAGGCCCTCTTCAAGCTATCGTGCAAAGCTACTGCCCCATGATGGATTACCTGAGCAATAGCTACCGTAGCACAGTGCTTTCGCCATGAATGGGACCTTCGTGATCCCGTGTCTGGGTTGGGGTATAGCTACAATAATCCTATCCTTGCACGTATGTTTTTTATGTAAGAAAGGGGGAAAAAATCAAAACAAAAACACTACTTTTAAGCATCAACACTATAAACTCCTTGAAGAAACTTCAGTATCATGCTGGAAATGTTTAGATAATTTTGGAGGATTGAGAATGGAAGGTATTACAGACCATCCACTATATTTTTGCATAGAGCTTGAGGCCTCCTGATAGTTTGAGTGTAAAACATGTGCCCTTATAGTAAGTTTCCAGCAAATGCAGTGGATTTTGGGGGTATTCTGTGAGGTGCTAGCAAAGCTGCCAAAAGGAGATGGGGGTTATGTACATTTTTGTACCAGTACATGTGTGGGGAGTCTGGCCTAGTGGTTCTGGTTCGTGACTCATGATCAGAGGGTCAGGGGTTCGAATCCAACTGCTGGTCATAATGTTGTGTCCTTGGGGAAGCCTCTTCACCCCAATTGCCTCTCAACCCAGGAGTATAAATGGGTACCGGCACTAGCTAGGGAGTAACCTGCGATGGACTAGCATCCCATCCAGGGGGAGTAACAATCTTCTCAGTTGCTTCTTGCTACTGAAAGCGGAGACAAATGTCAGCGTGATGGGCCAAATTGGCTTGTGACAGACTTTACTGAAACTGTACTTTTAGGTACCGGTATCTGTAGGCCTATTACATGTATCTTCAAACAAACTTGAATCGTCGATCCTGATTGGTCGATCCATGGTGTTGCCGGTGTGATTTTGTCCTATGTACATGTAGGTGTACCACGATCCATATCACACCATTCTAAGATGTGCGCTATTCCTGTTGCAGCCATGTGTAATGGAATAACCACTAAAAATCTGTAGATAGCATGTGCTTTCCATCTTTACCTGTCAAGTTTTTTTGGTACATTTGCTATTCCACTCACTCTCGTGGAACACAGACAATTTAGTGCATCTTTGTTCCGGTTTGCTACTTGGACAAAAAGTTCATAATTCCATGTTCCATTTGCGCACTGAGGATAACGATTAATAGAGTACATGTACAATTCATTTTACCATTGTTTTACCGCTCCCATGCGGTCCAGTGACTATTGCTGAGTTGCTTTCTCCTCTGACGGCACATCTGTTTATCAGGTCCACAAGATGCCTGAAAATAACATCAACAGGCAGAAAACAACACATTTCGTTAGGGACACTCCGTCCTGAAGTACAAAACGCATTTTAGACAAAACGATATTCATTGGAAAGAGCATTCACAAAAAACATCCACATCTACCCGGTACTACCATCCTTAAAAAATGGCCGTTATTGTGTTATTCTTGGGAGAACAAATTTTGGGGGTCAAAATTTTGACTCGAGAAAATCGGGCTGTTTAGGTGCTACATGTACACATGTATTCATGATCGAATCCTGTCACATGTGTTCCATCAGTGCATCGCATGGTATGGACATCATTGGACATGCGGGAAACAACATGTGCATTGGTGCTGTGTGAACTTACACGTATATTAGAACGTATAGGAGGTGTGAAAAATCATATTAATATTCGATGATTCAGCAATGTTAGGGTTACTACCGGTAAGTGTACACACACATACAAGTGTGTACTTGCCTGCAATTGAGGACCTTCTAATGTCCCTCTTTTGTTTGTACATGTAGTTTTAACTTTTTAGGAAGTCCTCCCATATGTTTTGTACACATCGCTAAACTGGGGACCTTTGGGAATATAATGTCCTCTAACGTTCAATGTCCCCTATTAAATGCAGAAACAAACTCATTTGTTTCCACATGTAATACCGGTATGTACATGTTATAATGGTATATACCGGTACATGTACATGTAACAATTAAAAACTTTAACATTTTCTTGGATTAAAATTCCTCAACAAAATCATAAAATTTACAGCAATGAAATGAACCTAAAATTTTTGAAGTTATAGAGATAATGTAAACTGCATTTCCTTTTTTTTCACCAAATTAGCTAGAACCAAAAACTTCAACATTGCAGAATGCAGACGGACAGACGGGTGCCCGTACGGACAGACAGATGGAAATTGGTATTACAAAGGCTCGCATCTGCTTTGCAGCTCGCCAAAATAAGAAAGGATAAAATAAAGGAATTTTGGTTTTATAAATAGCCTACAGTAACAAATTTGTATTATTTTCATAATTACGTTATGTGGTTATGGTGTAACTGGCTACGTACGCCACACTCATGACACTTACATACATTTTGCAGCCTTTCAGAATTTTGTTTTTTTTCCACAACTATTCCTCTCAATAGGTTCCTTGTATGATATTGTACCACAACAACCAGACACCAAACTTGAAAAGATTCATTGTGCAATGTGTAATGTGTATTGGTGTTGTGTGTATACAGGCCTTGGACAGTACCGGTACACAATGCACAATACGGTACCATAGCAATGTGGAGAAAAGGTTGAATAAAAAAATTAATTATTACTTGTCGATTCATAAATTTGGTCAACAGAATAAGGGCACTGCCTACTCAAAGCTCAATTGCTAGCTGTGTATGCACTAATCTAAAAATAGAACTAATGTATGCAGCGCAGGGATAATTCTGGGAAGACCAGGAAACGGTTTTGCGTAACGATATGTAGACCCACATCAATTGTTGTCAAGATTCATATGTAGACCCACATCAATTGTTGCCATGTGCCTAGAGCGACCAGGAGTATGCAATATTCATATTTACTCTACATAGTTTACTGTGGTTCGTTAGAGTAATACAAAAGTGTTTAATGTAAGGGAAGGGCAGAGGTAACCCAGACAGCGGTGACCAGGCCTTGTCTGGCAGCGCTCCGGAACTAATTCTGGGTCAACAAAGAATTAACGAGAAGGAAAATTCTTGTAATGGCGTCCGAAGTGGAAAGAATGTAAGAGTTACATGTAAGCAGGCAGAATCTCTCTTGAATACGGTGGAAATCGTGGTGAATACATTTTGTATGTGATCAGTATCCTGAACATTGAACAAAAAGCTGTTTCTCAGTGTGCCAAAATGTCTGACTCGCTGATACTGAGAGCCGAGTTTTCGATTGAAAAGATGTTGGGAGCAGGGGCCTTTGGTGAGGTCCACCTTGGGCGAGAGCTACAAACTAACAACCTGCGTGCTCTGAAGATCCTGCCCCTGACAGGAAGTGCCATAGATGAAATTAAAGCCCTTTGTAGGCTTTCTGCAGAACATGACAACATCATCATTTATGATCGAGCCATCAAAGTCGATGATGGTAAGGTTTGTCTGGTCATGGAGTATTGCTGTGGGGGTGATCTCAATGACTTCTTGTTGTCACACACACGGGAGCCTCAGCGAGACCTACGATTCATGAGGCAGATTGCCTCAGCTGTGGCTTTCCTTCATGCCAACGGCATCATACATCGCGACCTGAAACCAGACAACATTCTACTCACAGCAGATGGTACCCTGAAAGTTGGTGATTTCGGCCTCGCTAAATTAGCCTCAGACTCCAAACAAGGGGGCAGTCTTCAAAACTACTACATGAAGTCTTTCCGTGGCCACCGATTTTTCGTGGCCCCAGAAGTTCTAGATAAACGCTATACCGAGAAGTCTGATGTATTTCTAATGGGAGAAATATTTGTCTGCATGCTAAAACGCAAGGTTCTACTTCTACCACCATCTAACAGTTCAGTATTCGTGCCCTCTTACATTGGAGACCCGGACTTATTTTCAAGTTTGAAAGGTATCGGAGAAGCTATTCATCATGGGGAAGTGGACCGATGTGAACTTTCTGATGAGTCAACCATTGAAATAAGCCCGAAGCTACGTGCCTTTATTGACAAAATGTTACTGAAAGATTATCATGGACGTCCAACGGCGGCTGAAGTGAAGCATTATGTGTTTACCACTACACAATCCCCGCCATACACAATCCTTGCTGGAGGAGAAGTTTGCAGCAGGATTGCTTCTCCTATTGCTCCTCCTAGGCCTACTGCATCTGGCGCAGCGCTCAAGGGAGGCTACACGTTAGAAAAGGTTCTTCAGCTATGAGTACGAAGTAAACTATGGAAGTCTGAGATCAGAGCAGATGAACTGGAATCTGTAGAAATCTGGAAGGAATGTACAACATGTATGGATACACATCTGCATGATCCAAACTCAACCAAAATTAATGTTGTCTTTAGAAAAAAACATATACAAATGAAGTCTGTAATGAGCTTCGATAAAATCCCTGTATAATCACACTAAAACACAAGGAGCGTTGTTCACTGCTGGACGATAGTTTAAATAAAATTTGATATGTCCATGAGCTCTGTGCGCTACCAAAGAGGGCGCCCTTTTACCTAACAACGACGTCCTATGGGCGGGACATTTCGCTGGTTGACGCGCACTGTTCCTTGTGTGTGACGCACGTACACCAGGGGATTTGTTTTATTTACACGCAGTGGCCGCGCTTTGCGGCCGGTCACCCCCAACTGTACTTCCTTTGCCAATGAGGGGGTGCTTGTGAACGGAGCGGATACCAAACCTATCTTATAACAAAATGAGTGTGGACATGTGTCACCGGTGTGACTACAAATTCGTATCCTTGTGGAGACACACACACAATAGGGAACAAAACATTGTAAAGGTCTCCACAGGGCAATTTCTATAGATGAATAGGTCTCCACAAGGTTGTCACGAAATAGATATATGGGTTTTACTCAAAAACTAGGAATTTCCAAGGTGGGTTGATCCGTCGCAAATGAAAGAGTTTTAGAAAAGGGATATTAAGTCCAAATTTCAGCCAAGGAAACTAATTCTGGTTAAAATAAGAGCATTTTGAAACTTCACTTTCAAAATTGAACACTTTACTACACGAGAACAAAGGAATGTTTCCACAAGGATACAAATTTGAGAATGGGTGTATGTGGGTGTGCATACTGTACTTTGGGGAAGTTTTTTATTGTGAGAGAAATTAGGATGAGTTGTGGGGACTTTTTCCTGTCGCCATATTGTGTTTGATCTTAACTATCGCTCATCAGGTGTTTGGTCCAGGTGCTTCAACACAAGTCTAGGTGTCACTGTGGGTGTACATGTATTGTATACAATGTATGCACATTCAAATAGTGGACCTTGAACAATAGAGGACAATTTGGGTCCACGTTTATCCACAAGTCCACTTTTGAGGTGTGTTTTAAAAACATACATGATGCATGTTTGTATGGGAAGTCTTTCTAAAAAGTATAAATAGATGGACATCATACGGTCCACGCTTGAAGGTACCGGTACATGTATTTACAAGCGTGTGTAAATTGCATACACATACGTACCTTCACTTTGAGCAAGGATTTTGTCACTGAAATCTGTGGGTACCGGTGTGCCTATGTTTCCAGACAAATTTGCAAGTGTTCTAACTTCCTACATGCCTTTAATCACACTTCTTCTTTTTTAAGTGTCCAATGAATATTGATTACTTCAGACAGGATACAGGAACCGTACATGCAGCTTAAAGTTAATTATGAACTTTAAAAAGTGAATGAATGAAAAATTACACAAATAATTCCAATTTTCAGGCCAAACACTTTCACCAGGTACGGTATTTGGTAGTGGTACCAGCCCTACATGTATCGCTTTGAGCGAGGATTTTGTCATTGAATTCTGTACAGTACCGGTATCTATCTGTTTCCAGATTATCTTGTGTATAGAGTTACTTTGTACAGGATTTTCCTTATTTGCTTGTGCCCTCTTTGCCATGTGACCTACAAATGTATAGGGTACGAAGTGTATAAATTGTCCGCTGGTCCAGATTTATATGATGTCATTATAAATCTGGACCAAGCCCTTGTGATTTTGACTGAAACTTCTGCTGATACTATAATCAACTTTCTCTTTCACCTTTAATATGATGATAGTTTTGATTTCAATGATGGGGATGGGTGCTCATTTAATGGCGATTTAAATTTGACCGGAATTGTGCCAAATGTTGATAAGGTTGAATATTGATCTCATGTTATCTGTAATTCTGTTCGATTAAAGGAGTCTACAGGTCAAATTAGAACTTTGAAATCTCATACAAGCGGACAAGTGCAATACCAGCATGACTAGTTGGAGAACACATGCTAACCCAAAGTCCAGAGGAGTCTGGATTGAATCTCTCTGAAAATCTTAAAGAAATCCTAAAGTGTCACATTTTGAAATCTTTGTTAAAACAAGTTGTTTGAACTTCTATCATTAAAGGATAGGCCTATACTTTGTAGTTTGCAGTTATTCACATTAATCTTGTTTCATGTGCAGATATGTTGTGATCACATTTGAGTTGGAAGTGTCAATTTTCTAATCTTTGTTTAAACAAGTTTGTTTGCTACCGGTAGTATCACTTAAGGATGCTTTGTAGTTTACAGTTGTTCACAATTAAGACATTTTTCATGTGCAGATATGTGCTTTGATGACATTTAAGTTAAAAGTGTCTTATTTTGTAATTTCTTTGTTGAAGCAAGTTTGTTTACTAGTATCATTTTAAATTAAAAGATACTTTGTAGTTTGCAGTTGCTCACATTAAGACATGTTTCATATACATGTGCAGACGTGATGTGGTCACATATTTTGGAGTTGAAAGTGCCACATTTTGTAATCTTTGCTAAAACAAGTTTGTTTGAACTTCTATCATTAAAGGATACTTTGTAGTTTGCAGTTATTCACATTAATCTTGTTTCATGTGCAGATATGTTGTGATCACATTTGAGTTGAAAGTGTCAATTTTGTAATCTTTGTTTAAACAAGTTTATTTGCTAGTATCACTAAAGAAAACTTTGTAGTTTGCAGTTGTTCACAATCAAGACATTTTTCATGTGCAGATATGTGCTTTGATGACATTTGAGTTAAAAGTGTCTTATTTTGTAATCTTTGTTGAAGCAAGTTTGTTTACTAGTATTTAATTTTAAATTAGAGGATACTTTGTACCGGTAGTTTGCAGTTGCTCACATTAAGACATGTTTCATACATGTATGTGCAGACATGTGCTGTGATCACATATTTGAGATGAAAGTGTAACATTTTGTAATCTTTGTTAAAACAAGTTTGTTTACTAGAATCATTAATTTAAGGGCACTTTGTAGTTTGCAGTCGCTCACATTAAGACATGTTTCATATGTGGAGACATGTGCTGTGATCACATATTTTTGAGTTGAAAGTGCCACATTTTGTAATCTTTGTTAAAACAATGTTGTTTACTAGAATCATTAATTAAAGGACACGCTCTAGTTTGCAGATGTTCACATGTATTAAGACATGTAGTTTCATGTGTTAGATTTTTTTCCAGGTAATGGAAGCAGCTAGGGTTGAGTTGTTCCTATTTTTGGGATTGTTGTAGTCGAGACCTTTGCTCCAAAATGAGACCATGTGTCTTGTGACATCCATGAGCCATTGTTCTGTATTTAACTTGGCAACTGTGACCTACTGAGGCAAAATGAAGGACGTCCCCCAAAACCTTGTTTAGAGTAGTCGACGCCCAAGTCGGATATACCAGAAAAATCATGTGAAAATTGAGATTGATTGTTTTGTATTTTTAGGTAGCCTAGGTATCCAAGATCCACACTTTGCATTTTTGTTGGGAAACAATACCTACAAAAGTGGAAAAAAAACCTAAGAACGTTTTTCACTGCCATTGGTGGCACAATACGTGTCTTTTTTTTTTCAAGGCCATTTTTCTCGAAATGTGTCGGTGGCAAGCGTGCCAAAGTTTTTGGAAGGAAAACGTGTCCAAACTTATGTGTGGCAAGCGTGCCCGAAATGTTATGTGTGGCAAGCGTGCCAAGTTATTCAGGACAAGCGTGTCCAAATCTCTGTGTGGCAAGCGTGCCAATTTGGCGTGGGATATAGGGAGATTGATAATAGGGGATGTACTGGGTATGACCATTGTTTTCAATCTCTGAATTCAAAATTATCAAACAATGTTGATTCTACAAAATGCTAAGTTTTAGGCTCATTGGCCCAATGTTTTATTGGCAACATGTTATAAACACAGTTGTTAAGCTGTTCCAGAAATCACAATGTCCAACTTGTTTTTTATGCGAGTTGTCTGAGAATAATGTGAACAAAGGTGGGGGTTATTCCTCAATGGCAGGTCACAATTCATTTGCCAACCAAGGCTCTAAATGCCGATGACAGAGATATGAGTTTGGGGTGTCACGCCCCCTACATCCCAGACCCACACCCCAGACTCAACTACAATGTAGCTCCTTGCTCTACCATTGTTTTAAATTCACTTACTGTCTTTGCTCCTTGAGGTTCTCTTCAATGATGTCTTTAGGGGGAACTTTGATTCTGCAAACGCGTCTTCGCATGCATTTAATTTGTTACTGTGCACAGCGCACGTACATATGTATCGTGGTCTCCACTATCAATACCCCAAACATGATGATACAATTCGAGGATTAATTTGCTGGATTCAACTCAAGCATGAGGAGATAATCCAGGGTAAATCAAAGCCAATGTAGTGGAATGAATCATGTGTGCAACAGACCATTCATGTAAGCCAGCAAAATGACGACTTACAGCAAATATCAGCATTTGCGTAAGTCGTCACAAATTCTTGGGTCCCAAGAGTGCTGACTTAGCCGGAGTCAGTTTACTGTACTTACCTCCCATATGTTTTGTACACATCGCCAAATTGGGGACCTTCGGGAATATCCTCTATTGTTCAACGTCCCCTATTAAATGCATCAATTTGGTTTCTGTCCTCGATTTATAGATGATGTTGCTTGTGTGTGTCCTCAATTTACACCATAAACAAACGCACCCAAGGACTCGTTTTTACTATGCCAATGAGGCCTGGCCCCTTTCCTTCTTTTGTTCCCTTTTGTTTGTACTCTAGGCTTTTTCTCAACAACTCCTATAAGGTTTGTACATGAAATTCTCCTGAGGACTAGTGCCCAGGTCCTCAGGCCCATTGAAATCGTTCCCACCCCATTGTGTATACACCTGCAATCGTGGACCCCCTATTGTCCTTCTTTTGTTTATAATTTTTTAGCAACAGCTCTCATTGGTTTTGTACACGAATCTCAATTGTGGACCTTTTGTCAATCATGGACCCTATTGTCCTCTATTGTTCAAGGTCCACGATTTGAATGCGTACTACATACAAACTCACATGTACACACATTCCTGATTCCATATAAATAATTGAGGGGACGTGCTGTCCCATGGTACCGTAACTATGGGGACCGAAGACGCTAAGGGGACAGCAGAAAGTCCCCATAATTCGGTCTTAATTTCCCTCAGGCCCCCCCAAAAA